AAGTTCATCTGGGCCAGGTCCAGGGGTCTGGGGAAGGATTCCTTTAGGGAATCTATATTTGAGAACAAAGGGGCCGGGCGCGGTGGCTCAAGCCTGTAATTCCAGCACTCTGGGAGGCCGACGCGGGTGGATCACGAGGTCAGGAGATCGAGACCATCCTAGCTAACACGGTGAAACCCTGTCTCTACTAAAACATACAAAAAAACTAGCCGGGCGAGGTGGCAGGCGCCTGTAGTTCCAGCTACTCGGGAGGCTGAGGGAGGAGAATGGCATGAACCCGGGAGGCGGAGCTTGCAGTGAGCCGAGATCCGGCCACTGCACTCCAGCCTGGGCGACAGAGCGAGACTCCATCTCAAAAAAAAAAAAAAAAAGAGAACAAAGGATGAGGCAGACTTTAACAGAGAGAACAAAACAGGTATGCGTTTTTCACATTGCTGATAAAAGATGTACCCGAGACTGGGCGATTTACAAAAAAAAGAAGCTTATTGGACTTATAGCTCCACATGGCTGGGGAGGCCTTACAATCATAGTGGAAAATGAAAGGCATGTCTCACATGGCAGCAGACAAGAGAAGAGAGCTTGTGTAGGGAAACTCCCATTTTTAAAACCATCAGATCTCGTGAGACTTATTCACTATCACGAGAACAGCACAGGGAAGATCCACCCCCATGATTCAGTTATCTCCCACCAGGTCCCTCCCACAACATGTGGGAATTCTGGGAGCTACGAGATGAGATTTGGGTGAGGATACAAACCATATTAAGGTACAAAGGGCGTTAGAGAAACATAACAAGTGCACCTCCTGGTACAGCAAGGAGGGGCACAGAAGGAAACACTGCACAAGGGAGCGAGTGAAAAATCTCCCCAGGCTCACCATGTCCAGGAAGGATGTGGCGGCGTGATCATACCCTAGAGTCCAAACAACAAGATTCTTTTCAATGGCAGTGCCAGGTTAAAACAGCAGGCTGAAAACCCACATTCATTTCACCTCCTCCTAAACTCTAACCAAAACTACAGTCCAGAGACTTTCTTAAAAAAAGACACAAACCTACTCAGCACACAAAGGTAAGGAAGTAAAAAAGCTGATGAAGAAGAAGCGAGTAATTTAACACATTCAGCAAAGCCAAATCCCAGGCCTTCAGCAGAAAAGCTGAGCGCCAACACAGTGACTCCTGCAGAAGCCTTGTAAGGCTCAGAAACGAGTCCCACCAGTTATGTCTGAAACTGGGAGTTCGATAGGAGTTTAAGATATAAGCGTGGGGAGGTGACTGGGAAGGAGAGTCCGTTAGACCCCTCCACAGTCTCCCTGATCCCTGTCTCAGCCTTCTCTGAAGAGGCTGAGATAGCAACCAATACTGCAGGCCAGCACCTCAGCCCTCTTCTCCCCACGTGGCTCCTGGAACACTGGCAGTCAGACCTGGAGCCCCAGGTGGGACACTGGGAGACTGAAAAACTCTCCCTTGGAAACCAGTCACAGAGGAAATACTACAGCAGGAGAAGCAGCCCACAAGCCACCCTCCAGGGACTGACCACCACATTCTAATCCCCCTCTCCCTCTTTTCTTTATATGAGACAGAGTCTTGCTCTGTTGCCCAGAGCAGTGGTACAATCTTAGCTCACTGCAACCTCTGCCTCCCGGATTCAAGCAATTCTCCTACCTCAGCCTCCTGATTAGCTGGGATTACAGATGCATGCCACCATGCCTGGCTAATTTTTTCATATTTTTAGTAGAGACAGGGTTTCATCATGTTGGCCAGGCTGGTCTCGAACACCTGACCTCAAATGATCTGTCCGCCTCGGCCTCCCAAAGTGCTGCGATTACAGATGTGAGCCACCAGCACCCCAGCCAAAACCTCTGATTCTTGAGACAAATGATAGCTCACCTAAAATTCTACACCCACACAAACTATCAATAAAGTATGGGTAAGATAGACCTTTTTAGCCACTTTTAGTGAGAAGGAAATGTAGACAGCATTTTATCATCTTTGCAACCTATGGACAGAATGCCGAAGTCAGCCAGACCAAGACTGTTAACAATATTCAGCTTATTTTGACTACACTAAAGAGATTCCTGAGTTGAGTCCTAAGCTGCCTGGACAAGATGAGAACATTCATCTCACTGCAAGGAAACACTGAACTTCAGCCTGCTCCTGAGAGCTAAGCTGTAAAATCAGAAAACAAGAAGCAACCGACCCCTGCCCACATTTCTAAGGGATGTGACCTCCAGTACTGAGAGTTCATGCTACAACATCAGTAGAAGCAAGTGTGGGAACCCCTCATCTTCTTAAGATTAGCTCACAGACCAGGTGCAGTTGCTCACACCTGTTATCCCTGCACTTCAGGAAGCTGAGGCAGGAGGATCACTTGAGCCCAGGAGTTTGAGACCAGCCTGGGCAACATAGTGAGATCCCATCTGTACAAAAAAAAAAAATCTAAAAATTAGCTGATATGGCTTGGCTGTGTCCCCACCCGAATCTCATTTTGAATTGTAGTTCCCATAATCCCCACATGTCATGGGGATGCAATTGAATCACGGGGGCGGTTTCCCCCATGCTATTCTCCTGATAGTGAGTAAGCTCTCATGAGACCTGATGATTTTATAAGGGCCTTCCCCTTTGCCCAGTTCTTATTCTCCTTCCTGCTGCCATGTGAAAAAGGAGGTGTTTGCTTCCCCTTTTGCCATGATTGTAAGTTTCCTGAGGCCTTCCCAGCCTTGCTGAACTGTGAGTCAATTAAACCGCTTTCCTTTATAAATTACCCAGTCTCAGGTATGTCTTCGCTAACAGCGTGAGAACAAACTAATACATTAGCTAGGTGTGCTGGTGCATGCCTGTGGTTCTAGCTACTTGGGAGGCTGAGACAGGAGGATGGCTTGAGCCTGGGAGCTTGACACTACAGAGAGCTATGGTCACCCCACCCCCACTGCACTCCAGCCTGGGTGGTAGAGTGACACCATTTTTCCAAAAAAAAAAAAAAAAAAAAGATTAGCTCACGACTTCACCTACTGAATCCTCACCCACTCTGAGGAAAAGCAAAGCCACTTTGGTGCCCAGACCACATCCAGCTTTCTTCCCTCTTCGGAGCAGGGAAAGGGCCCTCTCTGAACAATGAGGACGGTACCCACTTCCCGTCCTATCAACAGGACTCAGCATCCCACTTAGGGAAGCATACGCAGGCAGGAACACCACAAAGAGAGGCACGGGCAGGACCCGCACAGCTGTGGGATCCCGGGTGCCCCGGCCCCGCAGGGAGGCAGGCCTGGGGCTGCGGCGGGGGCTTTGCTGGTCTGGCAGGTCTGAGGCTTAGACCGGAGGGTGGGCATCTGTATTCTTCCGCTGGTTCCCTCCTTCAACTCCTCCCGTGTGTGTATAAGGTACTTCAAAATAAAATTTATTTTTTCAAGGGTGAAGGATGTGACTGGATTTGATTCACATTCAAATATGACTGAGGCCATGGTGAGGAGAAAGGGGCGGGGGCGACGAGGGCAGGCTGGCTCTGGTGTGGGTGGCAGAGCTGAGAGGTCCAACATTAAAGGCTGTTTCTCTTGATCCTTTTTGTATGGGCAGGACAGTATGAAAGGAAGGAAGAAGAAAAGGGAGAGAAGAGGGAAGGAGAAGAAGAGAAAGACAAAGAGGAGGAGAGAGAAGGATTTGGTCAGTGAGGCAAAAAATAACAACAATGCCCACCATAACTGTCAGCCTCACTGTCAGTCAATATCATGCTAACAGTGTATTATATTTACACTGTTCCTGCAGTACAGGAGCCCCCAAACACTGTAAAAATCATCATTCACTTAACGTCAGGAAGTCTTAAGAGCCCAATTTTACAAGCAGGGGAAGTACTGAACGAAAGGGTCAATGATTTGCCATGACTGCTTAAAAGGCTGAGTGAGGACTCGGGTATCCATAAAATCCAGGAAGCCCACGTCCCCTACTAAATCCTTAAACTCCTGCTGTATGGGGTGTCCAACCACCACATTAAGTACATCTTCTATATGAAACTTCTATGACTCTGCAGACGCGTGCTACCCCAGGGCTGGGAAGCAACTGGATGTCTGTCCGTCACAACCACACTGAGAACTGTCCAAGGATGCCAATGGTGCTGGGTCACCACCCACACTCGTCGGGCTTGTTTTATGATTTCCTTGGATGAACCTGAATGGACCATCCTTGTCCAGAGCCAATATTCTATTTCACGTAAGTGTGAAGTCTAATTTTTGAAGTGTAAAGAACTTGGTAGCCGTTTTGGTAGAGATGCATTTCACAAGCCCTTCATTTTCGTGTGAGCACCCGGTGGAAGGCCTAGTACTTAGCAGAACCTCAGGACATTAAGAAAATTGAACCACCACAAGATGCATCATTTTCTGTCATTTTTACTAAACGTCAAAATTAGACTTGCTATATTTCCTTTTGTTTCTGTCGCAGGGAGTGAGGGGGTGAAAATATTTCCATAACAATACGCTACAAAGAAAAACAGTGAACCTAAACAATTTTAATCAGCATCTTATAATATGAGTCATTATGAAGATTATTTTTTTAAACTGCAACATGAAACAGACAAAACCTTAAGCATTGAAAATGTAAACTGGTTAAGAAGGTGCCTTTTTCAAGTGGAAAAGGATTTGGTACGGAAAACTTTTTTTTATTTTTATTTTTGGAGATTGAGTCTCGCTCTGTTGCCAGGCTGTAGTGCAATGGTGCGATCTCAGCTCACTGTAACCTCCACCTCCCCGGTTCAAGTGATTCTCCTGCCTCACACTCCCAAGTAGCTGGGGTTACATGCGCACACCACACGCCTGGCTTATTTTTGTATTTTTAGTAGAGACGGCGTTTCACCATGTTGGCCAGGATGGTCTCGATCTCCTGACGTCAGGATCCGCCCACCTTGACCTCTCAAAATGCTGAGATTACAGGCGTGAGTCACTGCACCCGGCGGGAAAACTTGGTAGATGGTTTTATTCTCAAAAAGAGTAGATACATTGCTAAGAATCAATATCTTACCTTAAATACTTCCATTGGAAGAGGAAATTTGGCAGCATCAATAAGGGATTTTTCCAGAGTACATTTCCATTCACAGGCCATCTTCAAAGGATAGATTTCTGTATCAACAGCAAATCACAGAAGAGTTGAAGGACTAACACGTTCTGCCGGGTGGCCCTTTCCTGCATGTTAATTCCCAAGCTTTCCTGATACCTCAGCGCGGTCAGTGACCGTGAGTGTTCACACCCCCTACCCGCCATGAGCAGCCACCTGCTGAAAGAACTTTCTGAAATTAAATAGCAACTTGGGATTCTGCTGTCAGAAATGAAGAATAAACTTAATAGACCTCTTCTTCAGGGAACATCTGTATGCATTTAGTTGGCATTCTGTAAGTAATTTAATGGTATTAATCACATTAGCAAAAACCTTCAGTCATCCGTGGGCCAAAATTCCACATATCACCTAAGAAAGCAATGCCCAGTGATGAGGAACTTTTTATCTGATACATTTCTAAACTACAAACGACTCTAGTCTGGCATTTGCGGTTATTACAACATATTTTTTCACTAAATCTCTAAGCTCTCATCTGCTAAAAATAGTCCCTGTAAGTCAGAAAATTATTAAAAGGTAAATTAAAATTTACCAACCAAGTTTAATATTTACACTTGAAATGTTGCTTAACACACCGCATGTTGCCCATATTTTTCCCCAGGCGGTGGGAGGGGGGGCAAGATTTACAGATGGAGGTTACAGAGTCTGAATGCAAAATTAAAAAGAAAAAAAAAAAAAAACTTTGAGCACTGTTTTTACCTATTGCTGAAACTGCAGGAGAATTTTATGACCTGATCTCAACAGATTTAAGACCTTATCAAAACAGGATTTGCAGAAGCCCTCACTGGAAGTAGGTATGTTTATGCCTTCACTATATCACCCCAGGCTACTTCAGACAGACGCTTAGGATATGAATACGAAATTAAGCACAGTTAAAAGGCAACATTAAACCTTTGGGACTATATTTTTAATTTCTTGCATGTCTGCTTTTTAGCATGAAGCCATCTATTTTGATCCTCATCGCTTTTGAACTCACCTTGAGCTTTAAGCCCCCGTTTCAGCAGTTTATTCAGTCATAATTACGCTACGTATGAGATCCTGCCAGAACTAGCCAAGCCATCAGTGCACCGCCCAAAGTCATTGTTACTTACACAAAGACACACAAAGGGTAATTCACAACCACACATCCTCTGCGTGTGTGCATTGTCTATAATCCTTTCTAGTGTTTCCTGTCTGCTGAACTTTTTTTTCCCCTGGTTTGGCCTTTCTAAATTCTTCTTAGTTAGTTAACTAACGTAATCGGGAACACTCAGTGGGGTCTCAACACACACTTCTGCGGAGACTGAAAGAACGGGGCCTCTGATGTCCACAGTGAGAAGGGGGCGCTCAGGAAGACACTGCTTATCACAGGGCCCCCAAAAGCAGGCACAGGGACCAGTTCACAGAGCCCCCTGCAAGCTGCTCCATGAGGGCGAGCGGGACACCTGTGCACTCGGGCAAGCTCATGGGCACTGAATCCAAACCACAGAGAAACAGGAGGCCACTCAGCAGAGCCCAGGGAGCAAAGCCCTGAGGACACCAATGCAGGATCAGGAGAGAAACTGCCAACAACAGGCTGGAGCTCCTGACGGGACAGGGACCATGAACACACGGCTGTTTCCAGCAAGCCGGGTAGGCAGACGGAGAGTTCAACCTGGGCACGGTAGGAAAAGGACCAGCTCACAGAAAACAATGGGGATTTCCAAAGCCTGCACCAAAGAAAGAATCTGAAGACCCAACAGGTACAGAAAAGGAAAGCGTGATCTACCTGGCTGGCACCTTTGGCCTCTTGCTTCGGAATTAGGACTCGTTATACCCTTGACCCTTGATGGTGGTCTCCCAGTGCGAGAGGGATGCCCTGAGACAGAGGAGAGGGTAAAAGAATGGTCAAACAACACCCTCATTGAGAGGCCGAGGCAGGTGGATCACTTGAGGTCAGGAGATCGAGACCAGCCAAGCCAACATGGTGAAATCCCACCTCTAATAAAAAAAAAAAAATACAAAACAAAAACAAAAATTAGCCAGTGTAGTGGTGCGCACCTGTAATCCCAGCTACTCGGGAGGCTGAGGCAGGAGAATCGCTTGAGCCCGGGAGGCAGACATGGCAGTGGGCCAAGATTGTGCCACTGCATTCCAGCCTGGGTGAGACTTTGTCTCCAAAAAAACAAACAAACAAACAAACAAACAAAACCTTAAGTCCAGGAGGAATGGAAATCCAACATGACCAGGGTTAGATCTAAGCTATGAGAACTCATGGAGGGGATGCCCCGGCCCCAGTGGGGTTGCCTGCACGCTGGCCCAGGAAGGTGGACCAACCAAGTCATCTCTGAAAAAATGAACTCCTCTGTCCACAGGATGCCATCTCTCCTCCTCATCAGAGACAAAGGTAACAAGAAGCCCAGGTGCCAGGTGGGCCCTGCCTCTGTCCTACAACCTGAAGATTCTCTATTTTCTTTCTGATAGTGTTAAATCCTGGAATGAATCCAGCCCATAGCAAGGCAGATTTCTTTCATGACAAGGTGAAAATCAGCTGCAGTTTTGACAGCCTGACACAACCGGCAGAGAACAACAGTCCCCGTGTGCATTCTGTGAGATGGAGGCACGCTGGTTATACTGGCAAATTAACGGACAATAAATAGTACCATTCGAAGAACACTGACCATTTTCTTAAAATGATCATGTTGCAGGTAACTGAATAAAGTACATCATGCCAGTTTCTGTTTCTGGGAAGGTCGTGAGCAATTAAAACATGTCCCTATTCCTCTGAAACTAGAAGCCTACGAGAAAAACGAGGCAATCTCCTTTTGTGCAAGGGTTTGGTGGGGCATTTCCTATTAAGTGCCACAGGAAGCAGGAATGTATAACATAATCATCAATAAACAAAGGCCTATAGAAACAACCCTTCTTTTATCCACCTCCCTCCAAAAAACTTCTGTATCTTCCTGCTCCTCCAGATCCTACCCAGTGAAGAAAGATGAGTCTACGTTGTTAAGAGATAGTAAACGTCAAAGAAAAGTGTTATGGACTAAATGTTTGTGTCTCCCCAAACTTCTTACTTGAAGCCCTAACCCCAAAGGGATGCCCTTGGGAGATTAGAGTTAGATGGGGTCATGAGGGTGGGGCCCTTAAACGAGATCTGTGTCCTTAAAAGAAGAGACACCAGAGTTCTTTCTTGATCTACTATGTGAGGACACAGTCAGAAGGCGGCTGTCTGCAAACCAGGAAGCGAGCCCTCCCTGGACCTCAACTACACTGGCACCCTGATCTCACACTTCCAGCCTCCACATCTCTGAGAAGTAAATGTTTGTTGTTTTAAGCCACAAAGCCTGTGGCATTTGGTTATGGCAGCTTGAACAGATTAATACAGTCCAGCTCACTTTTGGACTAAGTAATAGTTCAGGCAGGAAGTATTTAAGTTGGATTCAGAAACTCCCGGACTTCAAGAACTATCTAAAACAGGCACTAAAAAAAAAAAAAAAAGGGGGGGGGGATGGGGGTAGATAAAATAATTTTGACGGAAAAGACCAAGGGAATAAATTCTAGATATAGAGAAGAAAAACACCTCAAAAAGTTTTATCTCCTTAGCATCTGCAAGAATATCTAAAAGTCTATCTTATTTTCTAAACATCCCAAAATAGGAGAGCAGTGGGCTTCTTAAATGACCCTAACCTTAATGACCTACTTACCCTCCTTAACCTTAAGACTGTGATCACAGATTAAATGTCTAGAAAAGGCCAATCTCTTGATATACATTACACCACTCAGCAGCCCAGCAAGATATCCTTATCCCCATTATACAGGGTAAGGCAGCTTCTTTCCCCTCCTCCTTCCCCAAGTGCCAGAATGCTATTTCCTCTGATTCAGGGCAGAAAGAGAAAGGCTCAATGGCCCTATGTTTCTCAGAGGTGGAGAGTATAAAATCTAGTCTCTTTTCCCAGGTTTTTGAAGGCTAACTTCGTAGCTACTTTCTATGACCCATTTCTCTTCTATGTTGCTGAACAGTTGAGAAATCTGTGCCCTCTGAAGAGTAAAATGAGGGCCACGAGGAGTGGCTCATGCCTGTAATCCCAGCACTTTGGGAGGCTGAGGTGAGCCGATCATCTGAGCTCAGGAGATCAAGCCCAGCCTGAGCAACATAGTGAGATCCCATCTCTACAAAATAAGAAATTAAAAAAATTAGCCAGGGATGGTGGCCCATGCCTGTAGTTCCAGCCACTTGGGAGGCTGGGATGGGAAGGTCACTTGAGCCTGGGAGGTTGAGGCTGCAGTGAGCTGAGATCATGCCACTGCACTCCAGCCTGGGAGATAGAGCAAGACCCTGCTTCAAAAATAAATAAATAAATAAATAAATAAATAAATAAATAAATAAATGAAAAGTGAGTAAAACTAAAGGATGATTATTTTTAACAATGGTGGTGGTGCTGGGAGCGCACAGCAGACAGCCCTGGCAGAAGGGAAGAGTTCGTGGGGAGTGTGCTCATCTCCCCTGCACACCCCCCTCCCACTGGACTTCTCTGCATCAGTCACGGAAGCAGAACACTTTCCAGTGACTTCATGGTGTTTGGGAAAACGAGAAAATCAGCCTAGTATTTTCCATGCAGGTATGAAGTTTTATTCTCACCTAGATTCCAGTTAAGGAAGTGGTGCTACTACATAAGTTACACAAGTCACCGTGGGACTTGAAATCAATTTCTACAAATCCAAAGTACTAGAATCTGTCCCCATGAGCACAACAGGGGTAGTAAGAGCCTCTCTTCCCAGGGATGCTGTTCTGCTGAACGAGGCAGCAGAATCCAGTTTCCATCTTGAAACCACTGGATCTGAGGAACTCAAAACTCACACTTTGAGTGTCCTGTCACTTTTTAGTTCTTCTTCCTGTACATAACCTTTCCTGCGGGTGATTTAAATACTGGGGAAGTAAGTTCTTGAGGATGAATGGCTTTTCCAGAATCTTCTTTTTTTTTTTTTCTTTTCTTTTCACGGGGTCTCACTCTGTCACCCAGGCTGGAGTACAGTGGAGCAATCTTGGCTCACTGCAGCCTCCACTCCCAGGATCAAGCGATCCTCCCACCTCAGCCTCCTAAGTAGCTGGGACTACAGCTGCACGCCACCACGCCCAACCAGGTTTTTCTATTTTTTGTAGAGACGGGGTTTCACCATGCTTCCCCAGCTGGTCTCAAACTCCTGAGCTCAGGCGTGAGCCATCGTGCCCTGCCTGTTCCAGAATCTTCAGGGGCCCCCAAGAACTCTCCAGTTAAATGAACAACTAATTTCCAGAAAATGCTACGACAAGTAAACACAATTTATTCATATATTATAAAGACCCCAAATTATCGAAAGAGGGAGATGGCTCATAAGCGAGTATTTCCTAAGTTTCCACGGAGGCACATTCCATTGCCGCTTGTGAGCGTGAGTCCCATAACTTCCCAGGAAAGAAACATCACAGAGAACATAAGAAGCCACTAGCCATCCTTTGCTTTGCTATAAATTTGTACGCTGGCAAGTAGATATTGCTCCTAAAATTTATAAAGCAATTAGGTACTAAGCAGAGATTTATACACACAAGTTTACGCATAAAGTAAATTTCTCCTGCTGGGTTATGAATCCCAGGGCAAATCCGGGCTTACATCCTTCCTCACAACACGACAGGCTCTTTGTCTGTCATCAGAGTCAAAAATTACTCAGGATAGAGATGGAGGTGTTGGCTGCTTCTCAACATTTTGATGGCAATAATACTAATAAAATGCCACATTACACGTCTCTATGCCTGTCAAACTTAACGCAAATGCAAACACACGGGACACAGGACCAGGAAGTGTTTTCAATGAAAGCCTTCGAGTGACAGAAAAGACAAATATAACTCCACTCCTTCATGTACTCAAGACTAATATCAGCAACTAATACAGGAGGAAATTCTCTGGTGATTTTAATAAAGCAAAGAGCCACGTCCTTACTCTAAATATACCTACAAAACTCACTGGAATGAAGATTACCAATTTCTGAAAAAATATGTATTTCTTCCTTGGCATCTCTAATTCTACAAGAATCCAATATTTCTGTTCTGAGGTTTCCCATTCAAAGACTGACAAGAGGAAGCAGCAGGGGGAGTGGGGTGGAAGGGGCCCGGGCCAGCACCTGGGAATCTGAATTTCACTGCCTGTCCCCTAAAACGGGGACCTTGGACAACTAGCTGAACTCCAGTCTCAACTTTCTCTGCTGTGAAACAAAATTCACAACAAACATGCAGCACTTTTTTAGAATCAAAATAAACAATGTACCAGATGTAAAATCACCAGGCACATAGTAAACATTCAAGAATGCTTATTTTGTAAATACTGAGATTTTTAACTAGGTAGGTATAACAGAGACCGTAAGGCACGATTCTTCCCAATTAAGCCTCTGCAAAGCCATTTGGCGGTGCATTTGAAGCTAACTAAAATCTTACATGCCAGGAGAAAACATGATGATCTATCTACTCAGTGCTGTTTCATGGTCAGACTGGATTGTGGTTTGGATATTTAGACGGATGGATGGATGAATGGATGGACGAATAAATAGATGGATGCTGGATGAATAGGTGGATAAACAGATGAATGCTGGATGAATAGGCGGATAAATGGATGGTTGGATAAAATACATGAATGCTGGATGAATAGGTGGATAAACAGATGAATGCTGGATGAATAGGTGGATAAACAGATGGTTGGATAAAATAGATGAATGCTGGATGAACAGGTGGATGAATGGATGGATGAATGGATAAATAGATAAATGGAAAGATGGGTGGATGAGTAGGTGGATGGACTGGTGAATGGACAGAGAGATGGGTATACAGATGGACAGAGATTTTCAAACCTACTTACAAGACTATCAAAATTCCTAAAGAAAAACATGGAGAATATGCTCAAGTCCCAATCTACTATGTCTTTCCTTTCTGAACCAGTGATTCCCAAGGAACTAGATCAACTTCCCTAAGGCCCCCAACATTGCTTTCTCCTTTGAGAACACTATTGATTGAGGTCTTAGGTTTTAGTCTCTACGGAAAGCATTGTGAAGTTCAAGTGCTTAATATTCACATACTCAGATATAAAAGATACCAGAGAGTTCAAACATTTTCTAGAAACACACCCAGGAAAACATCACATCTTTTTCTAAAATACTTTACAGCAGCAAAAGCTTTGGTCCTTACCTGAAGGTGGGTCCATTCTGTATTTATTCTCTTGACACCAACCAACTGGTCGAAGTCTGTAATCCAAGTAAAACAACCACTGGTCATAGGATTCAGTGTCCTCCAATCCCACATAGCGAAGGCGTAATCTTCCTCCAACATTTTCAATCACACTAACTATCCAGTACTGAAAAGGGCTCTGGGAATCCTGAAGTTCTATTAAGGAACCAACTGTAATGAGGTCTATAGGGCCTTTCCCTCGCAGAGGCTGTTTAAACAGAAGCAAAACTCCTTATTTTAAACTTTATTTTAAGGTTCTCATGGAAACAGATGACAGCAGAAGATAATATTTTTTCACACCATCATCCAAGGTACTGGTGAACAGTCTGGCGTTCCCTCCACCCCATCCTTGCCCAGCCCATGCCCCGCCCCTTCCCTTCCCTCCCTCCCACACATCCATGTACCCCATTCCATATCCAACAACAAAAAAATCACAAGTCAATAGAAAATAACAGTTTATGCTAAGTTCTCACCAAACAAATCACCCTTCCCAGATAAAATTGCTTTTGTTAACAATCAGTATGCTTTCAAGAAGAGTTCTACCCAAATTTGCCTGGATCTAGAGAACGTGTGGTAGCAAACGGTCTACTTTTACAATAGACAGATATTTCTAATACGGAGCATTCAATTTACACCATGACTCTTTCCCAGACATTCATCTTACTCTACTGGCCGCTACTATGATGACCAAGATGCTCTCATACTTTGATTATGTAATGAAGGCACGAGTGTGTGTTGATAACATGTCGAACACACAGTAATGATCAGCTAAATTAGAGTACTATGTAAAATTATTTCTACACTTAACCTGATAATTGGTTGAGATAATTTATAATTACTGCCCCTTGTAAGAAAACTTCTTAGCATATGATAGCATATGAAAAGGGTGTTTGTTCAGCCAGCTTTGAAGGCAAATATGTTTTAGAAAATTAACATAGTGAGACAATTTGTCCTTTTTGAAAGGATGAACTATCATCATTTTGATTTGTTAATGAACAATTAAAACAGTAGCTCTAAAGATATACAACAAATACATCAGGCAAAATCTTCACAAAATAAAACCCGTTAACTATATTAGACAATGATGTTCTAAAGTGTCAATATCATTTACGAAAAGAGGGAAAGTTTACGGTTAAGAGAATATGATACTGTCAAAATCCACACCTGATTAGAGAATATGATACTGTCAAAATCCACACCTTATTACTTATTACTTGTTGTTCACTAAGTTTTCCCCTTTTTAGGGGCATTCTTAAGAACAACAGACTAGGTAATTCAATAATTACTTATGACGCAGTGCCTTTCTCTTCCTGTTCTATTATATAAATATAAATACTAAATATAAATACTAAAATGTTTCATCATAAAATTATTTTCAAATAAACCATCAAGATTTCAGATTAAACTATTTCTTTTCTTCAATACATTAAAATTTCCTTGGCTACACTGAAATACGATCTGCCATTCCTCCTCTTGTTTTTACAAGAGAAGTTAATTCAATTATTGGTTAACGTGTGTATGTTCAAATCTTGGGGTTATGCATCCGAAATAGAACATTTAACGGAACCACTTATCAATGTACTCCAAGAGACTATATTAGCACATACATAATCTTGTCACCTGTTCAAAACAGTTATTCTACAGGATTTGATTTATATTCACTCATATAGGAAAGAGGCTTAAAGATATAGGACAGTAGGAAGACGTCCTGGCATATTGTGATTTAAAAATTGGATTCGCATAGAGCGAATTTTTCCATTTGCTGATTGCATCACAGGGGAGGTTTCAGCAATGCCTTTCAAATCAGTCACCTAAGTTATTCAGGACAAAACAGGAGGGGAGGCTATTCGGATGGCAGTGTCTGCAGAAAGCACGTATCTGCTGAAGGATATATGCAAAGGTGCTGTCAGGTCTGAGCTCACGTAACTGGGGTGCTTCAGAGATACATTAGATGTATAACAACAATACATACACCTTCCAGGAGGTTGGCGGGTGCTGTCCTTGAACCGGTCAAGTCACGTATGAGAAATTCTGTCCAGTCTGTATACTTCTCTTTGATTGCTGGCAAGACAAAGCAGGGGAAAAAAAAAAACTTCAACACAGCAGCTAAGTATCCAATCAACTTAAAATCACAGCAGTTTTCTCTATGTAGGTTTGATTTCAATGTTTTTCTTAACCTTCATCACCAAGCTTCAGTCAATACTAAACTTTCATCACCATGCTTAAGTAAATACTAAAATTGAGACCGAAAATGTGTCTCTAAGTAGTGACTTGACACGTACCACATGCCTGGGCACCAAGGAGATGAAAGAATCCGAAGTCTTACAACCTATTTAGAAACTTTTCACAGATCACAAAGAAATGCTAAAGTATACAATTCAGGAGGTTCTAAGAAGAGAGAGAGCAGTGAGGCTAGGGAAATCAGAGAAAGGCTTTCCAGGTGGGAGAATCAAACCAGGCCCTGAATTAACAGGAAAGGTTTATACAGTTGCAGAAGAAGAAGGAATCTGCAGACAGAGAAATGGGCACAAAATAACAAGAGGGGTGGACTGAAGGTGAAATGGAGAAACAGAGAAACGGGGAAAATAAGTAGTCCCCTCCACATCCATGGGTTCCCCATCCCTGGGTTTAATTCAACCGAGCATCAAAAACACATGGGAAAAAATGCATCTTTACTGAACATGTACACTTTTTCTTGTTATTATTCGCTAAAAACTCCAATGTAACACTATTTACACAGCATCTGTGTCAACAGGTGGTTTAAGGTCTGCAGGAAGATGTGCATAGGTGATGTGTGAGCTATACTACTTTCTGTGCGAGACTTGAGCATCTGCAAATTTTGGTACCCTTGAGGGTCCTGAAGCCAGTCCCCCAGGGGATCCCAAGGGACGACTGCACAGTAAACAGTCAGGCTAAGGCGCACTCCAAGCGCACAGCACTGGGAAATAATACTGAGTGGTAGGAACAAACTATGGACAGTCAAGGAAGTCAACACAGATGCTTAACAAACAGGACATCTCTGTATAAAATGAATCCGGCAAATAGTATAACGGTTTGAATGGAAAGAAAAGAGCCTAAAAGCGGGGAAACTGAGGCTGCTTCAGTTATCTAAGTAGAAAAGTGATAGGACTCAAAACAGGGGTGACAGTCCTGTGAATAAGGAAGGAATATATCTGAGGCCTCTTCTGAAAAAGAAATATCAGGCTGTGGAGGGCAACATTCTACAAGTGCTCGGAACCCAAGACCTGAGAAAAGCGTATCTCCTTGGCATGTCTCCCAAGCGACAGATCTCCAAAGGCCTCACTGGGCTACACCCGCATCCCTGAGGGACCTGAGCCTTCCAAGGGCACCAGCAGATGGATGTGCAAAGTCAGCATAAATGACAGCGAGACCCTAGCCCCAGATTAACCACCCACCACAACTGGCTCTCCCTGTGGGCAGCCCGGGATCCACCCAGGACTTCGCTCAGCCCCCAGTAAAGGTCCAAGACCCCAGTAGTTTGTGCATTGTTTAGGTTCTTCAAAGGCTTGATGCGACCCTTCTGGCTCAAACCTAAAGCAGTGAAATTACTACAAAAGGGAAGTTGGCCATAAGGGTGTGGGGCAGATCTGGGCCCCAACGGGGGTTCCACCATCACTGGATGCATGACTTTGAATAATTTACTCAATTTCTCTTAGACTCTTTTCTAGCCAATCAAAGGGTGCCAGCTTGCTAACAATATTTTGCTTCTAAGGGGTGTTCTAAGGACTAAAGGAGAGACATATGCAAATAAAATATAACCAACCCAGGCACACACCAACCAATTAATAAATATTAGCTCTTGTTTTATTAAAAACATGTACTAAATTATTACATATATCTTTGTAATCTACTGGTTATTCATTATTCATACCCATAATATCCCGACTGAAACTTCCAATGAGCTTTGGCAGAATTGCCAGTAGAATGGAGGCCAACATACAAGCCAAGCAGTGGCCAGACCTGCTGCTTCATCACTAATGTGCCTCTCAGTCAACATCCACCCACGCCCAAGGATGATCATCAGACCAAGAGCAAAACCAGCATGCACGGAACTCAGGCAAACAAGGCTGAGTCCAGCTTTACCTTATATGGCAACGTACTAGCCTCACCCCACTTATAATAAAGAATAACTCATCTGTCCACTTCTATCACTACATTTTTTTCTCAAATAAATAAACTACATTTTTTCTCACCTTCCTTATTTTATACATACATACTCACATGGAAATACAAACATAAAAAATACTGTATGCTCGGTACTTTGGGAAGCTGAGCATAAAACTGTGTTCTTGTGTTCTCTTGCTTTGTTATAAATGTAGTCATCATTTTTCAAATGCTACACCCTTTTCAAAAGTGGCCCTCTTGCACGGCTAGGGTCACTGAGATGAAAACAAAGAAATACAGCTCAAATGAATTAAAATCTGGACTCACCCTATGCTTTACAAAGACCTTTCATTTACCCCCTCTGTTTTGTTCCTCCTAACAATGCTAACAGGGGCTTCTTCTTCACTAACTATTGCCCAAGTTCACAGAAAAAAATTAGAAAGAGCGGCCAGGTGCAGTGCCTCATACCTGCAATCCCAGCACTTTGGGAGGCCAAGGCAGGTGGATCACAAGGTCAGGAGTTCAAGATCAGCCTGGTCAATATTGTGAAACCCCATCTCTACTAAAAATAGAAAAATTAGCCGGGTGTGGTGGCAGGTGTCTGTGGTCCCAGCTACTTGGGAGGCTGAGGCAACAGAATCGCTTGAACCCAGGAGATGGAGGTTGCAGTGAGTCGAAATCATGCCACTGCACTCCAGCCTGGGTGACAGAGCGAGACTCCGTCTCAGAAAAAAAAAACAAAACAAAAACCTAGAAACAGCCTCAAGCCCCCAAGTGTTCAGAGCCCGATCTCACATGGAGTCTTTCCACTAGATTCTCTGATTCTCCAAAGCTTTTGCAAACAGATAAACCAGTAATTTACATTGCAGGCATGATGGAGATCATATGAAAATGACTCACATAAGTTTCAAGATTGGGACGAAATCTACAACTGTACCCCATAAATATGCATTTCATATCTCATTACAAAAGAAGAACAATTATTATAATCCAGTGATAAATGATCCTGTGCCTAGCACAGGTCGTCTATATCCAACTACGGGAAGAAAGCTCTATTTTCCACAGGGTTGTTTCTAACATGCATATGATCCAAGTTCATATTTAAGTGAAAATTTTTAAAATATGCAAGCACCCTATGAAGTCACTGCACAATGCTGAAATTTAAATTGTCCAAGTCACAGCAAGGGAGCTCCAGGGAGAGCTCTGACATTTACATCTTACGAGCCTCAAGTTCCCAGAAGTCCTATAGCTTTCCTTTATATGCATCTGCACAAGACTCAAGCAATCTTTTATGAGTCAGACTATCTAAATGAATTGCTCTCCATGAAAGATGTATCTATACAGCCATAAACATACACAGACCACTTTAGGTTAAAAAGTAGAAAAGAAACGTTCTCAAGAATCTGGCTAATTTTATAAGAAAAACTGTATCATCAGTCAACATTTAACTCTCAAAGCTCTAAATGTTCAAATGTACCATAAACCTATTACAATAAATATTGCCATAAAATAAAAACTAAGTATAATCAATTTACAATTCCGAGTCCATGGAGTTACCTTAACCACTGATTAATTCAGTTAAATCCTGGTAAATAAAATTTGCCTCGCAATTCCTTAGAATTCACTGCAATAGAAGCTAATTGGCATTGCTTAGTGTGACCGTTAAACTTCTAACTCGAAATTTTAAAACTATAAACTTTATTCTGCAGCACGTCTCTCTTCCAAGACTCCAACTCAGCGCTCTCAGCTGTAAGCCAAATCCTTGTCTATGATCAGGATCTTATTCTTCAAATTGAAGGACCAATCCACACATGAAACATCGCGAAACTCAAAACCTGCCCTGCACCCAACAACGGCATCAAAGGAGAACTCTACAGCAGGAAAGAAATAATCAGGGAGAAAAATACTCCGCAATTTCAGGTGGAGGAAGGTTTACCCACAACTTGGTAATCATCGCTCCATGCTTTCAACTGATAAAGGCAAACTCCTAGAAAGTCATAAGAAACAAACAAACAAAAAAATCAGAAACTTTTTACCACATTCTCATGAACATTTTTTCAAGGTTTTACTTAGTTATAATATTATACAAGCATTCCACTATACCTTTTAAAAATCCAAGTTCCATTCCACTAATGCCCCACTTGGAGAGGTGCCCACATCACAGTGAAGGAAGGAATCATGAAGTTAGGTTTCAGAACTCAAGTTCTGAGCTTGAGTTACACACACATATGCTTCTTGAGGACATGTAAAGATGGACCCAAATCCCACAAATGCTTTATTAGGATTATAAAGCTGCCGAGCTGGACATGGTAGCTCACATCTGTAATCCCAACACTCTGGGAGGCTGAGGCAGGAGGATCTCTTGAAACCAGGAGTTCAAGACCATCCTGGGTAACACAGCAAGACCCCATCTCTACAATTTTTTTGTTTGTTTGTTTGTTTTTTGTTTTTTACTTAGCTGAGCATGGTAGTGGGTGGCTGTAGTCCCAGCTGCTTGGGAGGCTAAGGCAGGAGAACGGTGTGAGCCCAGGAGTTTGAGGCTGCAGTGGGCTATACGATCACAACCACTGCACTCCAGCACGGGTAACAGACTAAGAACATGTCTCTAATAAAAGAAAAAGAAAGAAAGCTATCTACAAATCAAGTCCCAGATAAAGGCAGAAGATTAGCATCACTTTTTCAGAAACTGGGGAAACACCACTAATGTTGGATTTCGAGCCCTATCGAGTGCACATAACGTAGAGTCCGAAGCTGAGTCACCTCTCAGGGACGCGACCTGTATAGACCGGGCTGTGGGTACAAAGCCTGTGGTCAGGGCTGCCCATGCAGGCAGATGATGAACAAGGAGACCCATGCTGGGGTCAGGAGGACAAACACTGACGGCCCAGGCTCCTCAATGCCTTCCCATGTCACAGTAGAACAGACAGGTCTGCTGA